ATGTTGAACAAAGATCAATGGATGGTCGTGGCTAAAATGCTGAAGCTTTTGAAAATCTCCAGCAACAAGTTTTGGATGGGTAGCGCATCTAATGTCGAGGTCAAACTTACAAGAAGAGCAGTGGTAAGCAAATCCCTCTCTTTCCCCATAGCATAGGTTACACAAAAAACCGATGGAATGCCTATAGGGCGTAACAGAAAGAACAAGAGGATGTTGGTGGTGGAGGGGGTGATTGATCTCACCTGGTAGCTCAGCGCATTTCTTGTGGAGAAAAAAACCGCACTGGCGACAGCTGTACGTGGATCCTTCTACAGCTTCCTCGCATCCAAAGCAACAATGTTTTGGGCTTTTAGCAGTATCCGTTTCTTGATCCAGGAGCACCAAACGGTGGTGATGGCTAAAGTGACTGATCTCCATGTGTTTATCTCTAACCGATCTAGTCTCAAGAGGCCTGGGATGGAAGGAGAAAATAGTAGGGTGGAATGAATTGTGAGTAGTGGTCAACGGTGGTGATGGAAAGAAGATGGATTTCTGAATTATTCGAAATGACAATAATGAGTAAAGTATTAAAGTGGTTTACAGCTTTATCTATGCTTTTGTCTATTGGTTATCAACTTTTAGTCGATGAGATGAGAAAAGAATAAAACTATTAGTGATGATGTACAGCTAGTTTAGGCAAAATGCACAAATTAGCCCCTCTAGTTCACTTCACACTTTTGGTTAATGATCACCCTTCAACTTTTGTCAAAAGTAAATTAGCCCCTCTAGTTGTGGATCTGGGCAGATTAGCCCTTCTTCGCAGATGACATCAACTGATGTCATCAATCCGTCCAAGCCCGTTATGTCCTTTACCTTCTCCGTCTGAATCTCGTGATTACCACCCCGTTAGTTTTTTTTATTTTTATTTGCTGACCTGGACATTTTTTTTCCATCTCCCAGAAAACCCGACACGGACTATGTTTTCCCGGCCCTTCTTTTCAACACCAGTTTTTTGGCTTTTGCGGAAGTCCAATTTACTTTTTCTTTTCTTTTTTTTTTTTTTGGAGCAATTGATGATGGGGGCGGGTCCAAAGGAAGATGCACCTTTTTATCATGACAGTTATAGTTAAGTCAAAGGTCAGGTGTGGCGAATTTACTTATTTTGCTGCTAGCTTAACATTAATATTTATTTAGTGATATATGTGAAAGGGATTTTTTAATACATCATTTATATAGAGTGTGTTTCCAAAATTACTTTAAAAAGTTTAATCTCAAAATTAGTGACACATCGAGAAGATTTCTGACCATCCAAGCCAAACAAAAATGATTTAATACCTAACTTAGTCTTTAAATTTTTTTTATAAATTTAATTTATCTTTTATCTTCATAAAACATCTAAATTATCCTTAAATTTTATTTTTTTATAATCTAAATGGTCTTTCCATCAACAACACTGCATAATTGACACGTTAAGTATCTGCTAATTACCTCTTTTAATTTTCACAGGCTGACATGAAAGAAACGCCTCACCCAATTGATGATATATGGAAGCAATTTCATTACACGTTTCATTTTTGCCCAAATTTGGCTGAAACATCATGCAAGACCCAAATCTGGGTTCCTCGCCGTCACTCGATCCTTGCACGAGAAACCATATATAGGTGTCTGTTTTGCCTCTCTCCATTTTTTTT